CCTTCTTCTTTTTTATGTTTGTTACTCTCTTGTAACACCTCTAATCTTCTGGCGCTCATATGACCTTATGCAGTTGCGAGCGCCGTAAAACCCTCTACTAAAACTAAAACTGTTCTCCCTCAGGTTGCCCCTGAAGAGTTCAAGGCCACCATGTCCAGAATCAACAACGTCCTGAGGAAAGCGTTGCCGGTAAACGTCAAGTGGCTGTTCTGTGGCTGCATATGCTGTTGTTGCACGCTCGGATGTTCCTTGTGGCCTGTGGTCTGTCTGAGTAAAAGGGTAAGGATCAGCAGTTAGTTTTCATTTCCAGCAGTAAAAGGGTAAGGATCAGCAGTTCGTTCTCATTTCCAGCAGTAAAAGGGTAAGGATCAGCAGTTTATTCTCATTTCCAGCAGTAAAAGGGTAAGGATCAGCACTTTATTCTCATTTCCAGCAGTAAAAGGGTAAGGATCTGCAGTTTATTCTCATTTCCAGCCCATGAAAAGAGTGAATTTCAATCAAAGTTTGTATATAATAGAAGTTTTTCTGAACTTGTAAAATTATTTTTAATCTCAGTGCCCTCCCTTGCACAAATGATGAGGGGAGAGCTCTTTTATATAATCTAACTTTCAGGTCAAACTGCTGGTTTAGTGCCCATTTATACTGAGAGGAATATCACAGATCATCAGTAAGTGTTCCTTTTTGCTGGGATGCTCCAGCATACAATTTTTTGGGTTGAAAGTTCAAAAATTTAGGTAGGCAGGGTAACCACTCCTGGCACTTATGCTTGGTAGTAATGAGAAAACCTCAAGTTACCAAAATGGAAACTCTCTTTTACCCTTTTCCTTTGCTTGTTACTTTTGTCTTCTAGAAGTTAGTGTTGTACCTGGGTTGGGGAAGGGGGGGGGGGGGTTTAACCCTCTTGGTTATTTGGAATTCTTCTTTCTCTTTGAGAAACAGAGCGGTTTGAATGGGAGGGCTATAATACAATACATGTGATGGTATTCTTGTAGAGCGTGATACACAGTTTGGGATAGTGGTGTAAAACCTATGTCGTTTCACTATTTTCACTCCTATTGGACATTTTGATAAAGACATTCCACAGTGCTAAGAAGAGGAGCATTGGATTGGGTGCTCTATTTAATTGAGTTATTATTATTATTGTTATTACCGTTGTTATTATTATTATTATTATTAATATTATTACTATTGTTATTATTGTCACCATCATTATTATTTTTTTATTGTCACCATTATTATGATTATTGTTGTTATTTCTGTTTCAGACGCGCCATTCTTTAGAAAAAGTGTTAGATTGGGAGAACAGTCATTTATATCAAAAGGTAAGTAACTCCTTGCTCGACAGATTGGTTCTTTCGCAGTATTACATTTCTTTTTTAACTTCATTGTTTGAAAGGGAACATTTGTTGTTGCTTCTGACTAATATCTAGATTGTTAGGGGGTTTTTTTCTTTTTTGTTTTTGTTTTATTTTGGTTTATTGGTTGTTGGGTTTTTGTTTGTTTGTTTGTTGTTGTTTTGTTGGGGGAGGGGGGGTTTGGGGGGGGATCAGTCAGTCAACTGTACACTCTTCTGACAGCTGTGCCTTACAGGTATGGCCTATATCCCTGCTACTTAGTAGACTGTTCTTCACCTTTCTTACAAACAACAGCATCTGTAGTGTAATGGTTATGCTCTTTTTTTTTCTCTCAAGGGACTCGAGTTTGATTCCCATAGGAGGAAATTTGTTTTCTCCAGTGTCTCTGTCTTTTTTCTGTGATTATCATTCTATATCGCACTGGGCCGGGTGGGTGGTTGGTGGGAGCTCTGGTGTGGTTTGCTCCTTATTTCCTATCAAACACCTATCGTCCTGATCTCTTTTCATTCTTTTTTATATTTTTTACTCTCTTGCAACACACCTAATCTTCTTTTTTCCAACTTTCCTACCAACTGAAAATGTTTAGCGTGTCCCGTGGGCTTAGATGACCTCATGCAGTTGCAAACGCCGTAAAACACTTACCAAAAAAAAAACCTATCTAGTCTTCGGCACTTATATCGCCTTAAACTTATAGCGTTGCAAATGCCGTAAAACTCTTACTAAAACTAAACTAAATTAAAGCACTCAACCGGGCCTAGCTGGCCGTGGTAGGCAGGGTTGAAGTAGCCTGCCTGCTAAATGATCCAGAAGATTGTTACAATGTCTATAGGGGCTTTTAACTTTTACAGCCAACGTTGCAAACAACTATATTCTGTATTTGAAGGAACTCTTGTCTATTATTTTATACTAACTGGAATTTCTTTCAGTTTTGAGTAGGGCTAGGATGCATGGCTTGAATAACTTTAGATTTTTTATAGGGAATGTATTAAAATAAAACTGTATCCTACATTTTGGATTAGAGGTTTATTGAAAATGCAGCCTTGAAGATACTCTTTGACTTTTTAATTTTTAACTTCGAAGGTGTATTGGACTGTGGGTGCAGTTGTTGTAGAATGTATAGCGCTCAGAGCTTGCAGTTGTGTGAAGTTTTGACAAATACCTGAATACCTTGAGGTATCATCTCTGACTCAGAGGTTGACGTGTAATGACCCGTCCATCCTTTACGGTTGCGAGCTGCCGTTGCACATTCTGCTATATCCATGCCTGTCCATGTTTGTTATCCAAATGCTATTTTTGAAGCGTTCTGGCAAAATGAGTTACTTCTCGGATTTGAGTCTTATGGAAATAGATACATCTCACTTATAGTTGAAGTTTTGACAATTTATAAGTATGAAATAATGAAAGGTACATTACACTTAAAGAATATGGCATCAATAGAAAGTCTACTAATTTGACTCTAAGTATCGGTTTTTGGCCAGTATCTCCATTAGTGGATTGCGAAAAGTAACTCATTTTGTCAGCTCACTTCACATTTTTTTAAATTCGTTATTACGGATAATATTCTCACTGCTCTATTTTTTTGGGGGGTCTTCAGCTCAGTCTCCACTGGCGGCTGAACAAACAGCGATGTGACTCGAGCAGCATGATGGAATACGTAAGTGCAACCGACTATGAATATGTGTCACGACACAGTGGAATTAGCCGCTTGTCAATTTTTGGGCATTTGGAGTTATTGTTATCCTCTGAAAGCTTGTTCATTTGCCTGTCTTTCGATGAAAAAAAAGTGCCAATCTGTCTTGAATAGAAGCCAAGATATTTGCAATTGAAGGAGCGGAGCCGCCTAGTTTCAGAGGTAAAATTAGAGAGAAAATGGCTGTGAAAGTTTGGTGATTTTCAAGTTGGAGAGTTGTCGGAAAATAAAAATTTACATTTTTTTGTTCTTTTAGTCAACGTTTTTCCAGTAAAATGCCCACATAAATGTGTTTTTGGATAGATCTAGACATGAAAAGTTTTGCACTAAAAAACGAAATTTGACACTAATTGCCAGATCGGCAGAAACATGCCCATATTTTCGATTTCATTATTTTGACAAGCGCCTGATTTCACCACGATGCCCTAATGAGACTGCTATGTTACCGAACAGACATTTTGGCCTTTTTCTTAGGGACAAACATTTTGTGGGAGATGATGATAAAAGTTAACTGATGGCGTGTGCGGTGTAACGGTTGGTTAGGCGATTTGCTATCTCAGGAGTCCTGAGTGGGGGAGGGTTTTTATTGAGTATCTCAGGCTTTCTGCTCAGCTGTTGTATACTTCTAAGCTTGGGTTGGCCCTGACAGGCAGGGTTGAAAGCCCACCCCCTAAATGTTCTAAATTGTGTGGATGGGGGCTTAAAAACACTTACATTTTTTTTTTTTAGAAAAAGAATAAATTTATTTATAAAAGTTCTCTGAGATAGGTCTATGGGTTTGTGTTGTTTTTTTTTAATTTCTTTAGTTGTGTAGGGGTTTTGTCTGAATGCCTGAGTGCTGTAATCAGAAAAGTGGCTGACAAAGGATTTGACAGGTCTTATAAACGTCCTACAGGAAAATGTGTTCACATTTTATCGTAGAGTCAAAATTATTCAAGACAGCCACCCAATTGTTGAGGAGAAAAGTGGTCTGGTTGCCTTGACAGGTGGATGTTTTGAGACGGGTAGCTGTTAGAGCAGGTATGACTGTATATAATGTGGGAGAAAGAGAGAGAGGAGAAAATATTGTCAGTAGCCTCAGCCTGTGTGTGTTCTCCCATTCATTGTACTATAAAACAGGAAGTATACGCATAAAACACAGTTAAGTAACATTTGATGTTGATGTGTATTCCTCTTCTGTTTTTGTGAAACGAATGTTGTATGACAGTCGAGTTTTTTTTTTTAATGGTCAATTTCAGGTTCTAGTCTTGGAGTTTATCCCTAAAGTCCCAATATTCCGGCCTGATTAAGGAGAGGTGTTGGCTTGTGAGGATCAACGACCGTCGACCCCTGACACTTGACCGACCCCAGACAATACGGCCGGCATCCTTTCACACAGCTAAGCAAAGTATTAGAGCAACAAGACAAAAAAAAAAGGGAATAATATTCATCTGCATTCCAATGTTTTTAGATGTTCTTCGTTTATGTCATCTTGAAAATAGTCTATTTTTCTTCATCCGTTCTTCAGTTTTCGCATGTATTTCTGACTTCAGAGTTAATGGCAACTTTGGAAAAAAAAAGAAGATTTTTATTTTCTTCAGCCCCCGCCTTCCCAATGCAGAGTTTTTATTTTTTGCAGCTGCTCTCTCTGACCTTGTGCTGACACGATGTGCCACTTTCCATTGAAATAGGCGTCGTCTTTGATGATTATGACCATCTGATCTCACCGCTTTTGTTTTGGGGGGGGTTTTGTTGTTGTTGTTTTTTGAGTGTTTCTGTCTCAGTGACTGTTAATCAAGCATATTTTTTTCGTTCCCCTCAGCGGGTCTTCTCTGCCTTTTCTGTGTTTACGCGTTTGTCGTTTGATCACGTCCCAGAAATGTATATTATTATTATTATGTGCACATGACAGAAGCAGGTTTTGGATTTAGTGTTTGCAGCATGCACATTTTAACATTTTCTTCGTTACATTAGCCCTGCTCTCAGGGATTATGCACCATCAAATATCCGAAATAATCGAAGTGCTTTGCCCATTCCTGTTTTTAGTGTATCTGCGTGGGTGCATGATTGGTTTTGGTGATTTTTAAATTATTTTTTTTTTCCAATGCAACTAATTTTCAACAAAAGTCAACAAAAGGTTGTCTTATTCAGGGGAGCAAGTATAATTTTCTAACTTGTGCCTGCTATGCCACGAAGCTTGTGTGTCCTAAACGCGGTGAAAAGTTCTTGGAAACATCCCTGCCTCAGACTGTCAGGTTTTGACCACAGTTTCACTGTGTAACCGTGCCAACCAAAGTAGGTGTGTGAGGGGGACTTTTTCGTGCTGTTCGTGTAAATCAGATATTGTCCACAAGCTGTTCAAATGTTCTTAGCCCAGATTGCAAAATTTTTCATGAGAGAGAAAAAAAACCTTTCAGTGAAACCATGGGATGAGAACATGTACAACTGGCAGATGAAATGCATTAAGATTTTTTTTTTTTTTTTTTTTTTTTTTGG